ACTAATTCCACTGTATATTTCCCCGCCTTTTATTCAAGTTATCTTGACGAGATAACTGGTGCGTTCATTGTCCCGAAAACGTTAATTTACGTTGCCCGTGAATTTTCCACGTTTCTGAATACGAAATTAACATAGTATGCAGGAAAAATATATCCACGAAGAAAGCAGCTCGTCCGATCTGTCTCTATTACGCGGGGAAATTTTCTATTAAGGCCAGAGAAGAGACACTATGCGGAATGGTCTGTCTGCCATCCGGTGACGCAAAACATTCCGCGTATAAGTGACATTCTATTGATCGCGCTGTCTCTGTCGCGGCAAACCACGTGGCAGCGCATTGTCGCGGACCTCCGCCCACGGATCACGGCAAAATACCTCATTGTGCTGCCCGGTAAAAAGGAAGGAAGAAAAAAAAAAGACCGCCGTCTGTCATTCGGACGTTTCGTGCCATCGATTTATCTGTCGTCGCGATCCCACAGGTCGCGAAATCTAAAAAGAACGATTTGCAGCGTCGATTGACTTTATTTCGTCGAAGAGAACTGCATAAAGCGTCTTTTGTATTTTACATTCGCTGGCGTAATCTGAATTTACTTCTTTAATCTTGCAAAATTTGGGGTTTAAAGACGCCATTGAAATTCTGATCGATAATTTTAACAAAACGGGAAGAAAAGAGGCTATAAGGGTCAAACGTAAGATTTAAATCTTACAGATAAGGATCATTTGGTACAAATAACACGAGTCGACGAGCTTGCTATTTGGTTTGGAGATCGTGGGCTAACCATTGTTATCGCTGAGGATGGCTCGAAATTGAGCCGAAACGTTTGAAATTATATCCAAGAAAGTGAATAAATGAGACATCACGCAAGAAGAACCGCGTTTGACCCTTATAGCCTCTTTTCTTCCCGTTTTGTTAATTCTCGAGGGTCCGTTTACGATTTATCGATAATTTTAAACTCTTTATTTTATATTTATTCTCTCTATACGTATTAAATTTATTCGTCATTCATTACTTTAATTTGACTTTCAACGAGTTTTGCATTTAAAACTCGATTTCAATCCTCCCTAGGTTGATGCAGCTTGTTGCAAATTATATCACGCTACATCGTCGATATTTGCATTCACGTCCGTTTTTGTTTCGTCAAATTTTATGACGCGTAGCGGCAATCGATGTATGAAACGCGTGAATGAAAACGCATTGCTCGCGAACGTGGAAAAAAATGGGCAATCCATGCGGCGCATGAATGTATGGCTGTCAAAAATTGTGCCACGCTGTCCCACGCGCACGTTGCTCGTAGACAGTCCCAAACGTGGGCGAGCAAACGCGTAGGGCCAGTTAACGTATACAGGATGTCCCAAAAAAAGATGAATAACCGACATCCTGTCATCGTCATAATTTGCGAGTTTCTATACAAGTCGAACTGCATCGCTATTTAATATCGATTGTTAGATAATAATAATTAATAATGTTTCTTAATTAAAAATTATTTTTGAAGTTTTAAATAAATTTTAGTGATATTTTAACGGAGGTTTTCAATGGCGGGAGAGCTGCTTAGGAAAACATTTTGAAAAAATACCTTCCGATATTTTGGATTCTATACTGTGTTATCTTATATTGATAAAAATATTAGAAAATAGATTAACTTTCCATTATATTAAATTTCCGCTGTAGAAATATCGATTCTGAATTTTTCGTTATTTTCTCGACATCTCCATGTATATACCTACCTACCTACGCGTGTGTAAGCCATAAACATAGCTATAAGAAAACGCAGGGAAGAGCTGGAAAAAGGAAGAGAGAGAGAGAGAGGGAGAGAAGGAAAGAGAAGCAGAAGCGGGAAAGAAAAAGAAGTATAGAGACGCGCTCATTGAGATGCGTCTCGCGTGCGTTTCTCCGGCGGCCGAGGACCGGAAGCTGGCTCGTCATACGTGCATCGCCACGCATATCCGGTACACCCCGGAGCCGGCTTATCGTGGCTGACAATTCTAGGAAAGAGGCCCGCGCTACCGATCTCCACGGGGAAACATTAACCCGATCGAAGTCATTTATTGTTACAAGCTCAAGTGTATAGCAGTTATCAACGCGTTGAGTAAAATGCTTAGAAAAATACAACTGCGAAGAGATACAGACTTAATACAATATAAAGCCGTATCTCTATAAAATATGATAGAATCTTATCATTTGACGATATTGCTCAACAACACTTACGTTATATCGATAATTGAAACAGATAATATATTACAATATACAATTATATGATTTATATAAATTAAACATAAATATATATTATGCGTACATAATTATAACATATATGTATGTGTAATATTAATATTAATTAATACTAATAAGTAAGATAATGTTAGTTTATGTACATAAATTGTAGCATATTATTGATATTATATATGCTACAATTTATATACATAAACTAATATTGCGCAAAATGCTCTAATTTTTATTGCACATTATATTACAATACTTTACAGCACAATGCGAAGTGAATTGTAATTCTTGTGTGTACCTAATTATGCCGTAATTTTACTGTCTCGATTAATTCTGATATCAAGAATTATTATGCTGCACTGCTTATAAGCCGTAGCGAATGCAAATAGACATGATTGTGCCGCTTCGTCGCGTGCTATTAACAGATATCAGTCGTGGTGGTCACGTTAGTTTACGCGGCGGATGTAACGAGATCTAGTTTACTGGTGAATGACGGCGGCTGCGCTCGTTAAAAATATATCATCGCGTCATATCGCCGTTCGCCGTGGCGCACAGCTCTCGTATAGATAACGATTCGTTATGATCTCTTTTACAGCTGTGTACAACTGGCGGGGGGACACGCGGTATGGATTACCCCTGGAAATCGGAGAAACTGTGCAGATCCTGGAAGAGTGCGCGGGTACGTAATCCGATATACTTGATCTTATCTCTATTTCTCGCAAGAGATCGATGTACTTACCTTGTACCTCGCCTTGTACCGATGGCGAGTTCTGATATCGCTTAAGGTCAAGGGAAATGATGAAGTTCACCAGGAAGTGGTGATATAGTGCAGCGTAATCACGCATTCTGGAGCGACGAATCGCTAGTGATATAGAATAGATACAAATTAAAGAGAAAAAAATTAAGAGAGCAATATATTATATCATTTTTTTTTAATTTAAAAATTTAAGACTTGCATTAAGACTTCACTAATTTGCCCTATTTGTTCTTTTCATCATTAATTATTACATCATTATACATCAAGCGGTGTTTGATTTGTTACCTCGTTAAAATTAATTTTAGGCAATCAACTCAAATTAACTTGCGGAATTTGGCAGACATGTTGCATTAATTATTTATCAAGCATGAAATAATAATAGAGGTAGAAGATCGTATTTCATAGTTCGTGCAAAATTATTGCATTGACTGATATCAATTTACAATAATGAACGGAATAATGCTATTTCACATTAATTAATTTTAATGTCGATATTAACGTTCATTCATATTCGGTATTATTGTCTAAATTAACGTCTAAATTAGCCGTGTTTGCGCGTCTATATTCTTGGTGCCAGGAATATTAAACCCTCAGACGCGTAAGTCGAATGCGCTCGGCGAAATGCAACTGAAATTGGGGGGATTCCCGACGATTGCAGGCTGGTACAGAGGCTTCTCGACGAAAAATCGCGCGGTGAAGGGGATCTTCCCGAGTTCCTACGTGCATCTGAAGCCCTGCAAAATCGACAATGAGGGCCTCTTCGAGTCCGTTATACCATTGGAGGATCCGGTGGTCCGGGAAGTCACTCTGGTCCTGCGGGAATGGGGTGGCATTTGGAAGAGGTTGTACGTGGTGAGTACACCGCATCCCGTACTCTTCTTTCCGCTCCTCCTCCCTTCTCATTGGGAAAATATCTGTCTTTGTGTTCCGGTTGAAAGGATATTTTCCCGTTATTAAAAATGCGATCGATGAAGAAAAAATTGCGATTCTCTTGTACCTTCTCCTTCATTTATTTCCTTTTGCATTTGATTTCTGCATTATTTATATATCTCGATATTAATAGGGGATTCTTTAAATAAATAGTTATGTCTTTTGATGAATTTTCATTACTCACGTAACTTTCTTCTATCTTTCATATAATTCCCATTTTCTCTACTTTCTAGAAGAAAAGCACGAAACTTCCTTTACTCTTCTGTATATTTCACATTATGTAAAGTTATGCGAAACACGTAAATAGGATTGATTTTATAGTACGCCTCTTTTTCTCTCTATTTTCGGGGATACGTATAAAACTTTTTTAGCGATTTTAAAACGTAATCCTTCGCCCTGGCTATCTGATGCAGGAGCGCGAGGAGTACAAGTTCAATGCGTTGCGTAAAGTGATGCGGGAGCTATTGGAACAGCGGCGGCAACTTTTGGCCGGCACCCTCACCACCGATCAGACGCGGGAGTTGAAGCTGAGGATAATCAATAAAGTGGACTGGGGGAATCGGTAAGTCGGCATAAAAAGTTCTTCGCTATTCCGTATTAAATTCGCGGCACGTGCCGCAGAAACGAGGTCGGGGAGAGAGAACCATCCCTCCTTTCATTCATACTTTTATGAGGGAGAGATTTATTGAGTTTCTTTAATTACTAGTCGATTCGCGTCAATTTTCTCTAACGATGGCACATCGATAATAATATACTCGGAGCAAGATATTCACTGTGTTTCGCCATTGGCGCAAACGTATTGATTTTTATTAGCAATCATGGCATTGCAGTTACGAACAGCTAGAAACGAAAATATCAAAATTTATATTTTCCAATCTAGAATATATAAAAATCAATGTTTATTGGAAAAACATTTTAGTCAAATAATTGCGCGCAAAGTGGAATTAGAGATAGCAATATTGCACCGAATAGTTTCAGCTTACTACAGCTGAGGAAGAGAACTTCGAAATCGGAATAGATTCGCTCTCGCGTGACCATGCGCTAATTAAGTTCGCTTGCGCGCGCGATTGCCGGATAAAAGCGAATAATAGACGACACTGTTGGCAGGAATTTCTTTTATTCTCTGTCATTCTCTTTCATATTAATCGCTATAACGACGTTGCACATGTCGGCAGTCTTCCTCTCATCAAAACGCGAGTTTCAGGGGAAGCGTTTCGCTCCTCCTAAAGAATACGCTAATGTATAATCTTTTGTCTCGTATTCTATATACATATATGTGTATATAGAAGGCACATATTTTACGAACAACTATTACGAACAATTACACCTATTACACCTATAATTGATCTCTCTTTCTCTCGCTCTCTCTCTCTTTCTCTCCCTCTCTCTCGTTCATCTTAAACTATCTTAAGATCTATCTTAAGATATCACTCAGAGCGCGATTCTCAGTAATCTAACGGGTTACGGATACCGTAAAGGGAAAGGGTCGTAGCGTATTATATTATTGTCATTATACATAATGTTATTGTCGGTGGTGCTTATACATCATCTTCGCGGACGAGGACGTGGGGAATGTATTCGAGGGAAAGTTTATATTGTTTCTATTAACAGGAAGGAAGATTACCGCGTACGTGATAATTCATCGCGCAAAGTAAAGTCTACTTAGGAGACAGCATAATATTCGGGGACGATATCGTTCCTTCGTGAACAAGTTGTTAAAGTAATCCCAATTAAGGTTAATGAAGTACTTAATTATATCATTAAAAACGCGCGAGCGCACACGCGTAGATCAATTTTTATGTATCGCAAGATATAATATATCGCGAAATATAGTCATGTACAGAAACTCTATTTATACGTCTTAACAGATCTTCTTTCTGCTTTATGTTGTGTTTTAAATTTAAATCATTTTTTCCCTTTTTTTCGGCGTAATTAATTTTCACGGTTCAGGAACTAATATTATGTTCGCGCAAACATTGTTTTGATTCACTTCTTAAGATGTGCGGAAATCGTCTATAGCGATCTGCAAGAAAAAGAAGACACTAAACGCGAAATGTTGACTACACATTGCGATCAACGATCGCTCGTATGTATAGTGCTTTCTTTTTCAGTCGAATTTCAATTATACTACTTGCTTCAATTCTCGTTACAGTGCAATCTTAGCGCCAGTCGCGTGAAAATACTTGTAAAGAAATGGAAAAAAATAACGAGTCATGGAATGCATGAACGTTCGTTTCTTCTTTTCTATTCCTTTTGCTTATCAGAATATTGACATGCTATTTTATCTTCATTAGGCTACTATAGGCAGTGTAATTACTTTGCATCTATGATGTAAAATAATTTGCGATATCTTTACGTCTTCGTTGTTAATAATCACGCGATATTCTGCGATTCGCAGATTTCGCGTGCATTCGTTCGGACATTAAGCGTCAAATAAATCGCTTTTTGCACGAAAACCTTCGGAAGTCCATATATACTTAATATACATACAATATATTCGTACAATTGTTTAAAGGATTAGAGAATTCGTTGTTGAGCAGCATGTTCCACCTGTGTCTTTTTTAATTTCTATGCGATTGTGATGAGAAAATATGATGTACATACATCGATATATTCCTCATCACAATTAATATGGGCTAATGAATGTTCTACGTCACTTCGAGTAAATTATTGCCGCGCTCCCTAATTAATATAAGCGATCTGCGGAGCACTTGTTACGTATCGCAAAAGCAAGTATCAAAAGTAATGCAGTAGTATATATCCACGATACTTCGATGTCTGGTTTGTTTTCTGCTCAGTAGTGAAAGGAATGTTGCATTTATGACTTGAACGGGAGTCAAGGAGCACCGTTATCAATTCGTGCGTCTCACGTGTGGCTGTTACTCTCCTCAAGTTACCGCAAAATAAATCGGCATTGACATGTTGACATGAAACAGACGATTAATAATCAAAATGATTCGATCTTACGGCGAGTGGGAATGTATGACTCTATCACATTTGGAAACTTGTTGCGACTTAACGATTGTAAACAGTTACACGTGCGTACGTCTTATGATGCGAGAGCATCGCGCGTTATCGTCTACGTTTATATATTTGATAATCTAACGTTCGGTTCGTGCCGCTGCAGTCAGTGTAAGACAATCAACTTGTCTTCGACATGTCGAAACACAATGCTCGTTATGTAATTCTCGCTACGATCCGCACTGCACCGCTCAAGCGGAAATATCTCTAGGAAAAGAAAAACTAAGTAACATAATGGAAATCTCTCGTAGAAATAATCGGCAAGAAGCCTCGTTGGCTTGTGCGATCTTACACGCCCCCGACTTTGTTTTTACGGCACATGAAAATCTCGTAACGGCTGAAGGAGGTGACGAAGGTTAGCTTTCATGCTGTTTCTCCAATCCAAACTCAGATATTAAAATTGCATTGTAACAAACAATGTTAAATGAACATCTCGTAATGACAAAAGTTTCAACGAAGAAGCTGACGAGGTGATTCGCGCGCTAGCACTAATTTATTGATGTATTATTTTATACACGAACGAATATAATGAAACTTTTGAATGAAGCACCAATCGGAGATGATTCGCATAATGATCTTGTTGAATGAAAAATACGATTAGACAGAGAAAATAAAGATTAGCGTGCATTTCACAAAGGCACGTAGTGGTCTCCCCATTCAGAAATCTCCGATTGAAAGTCTCGTTGGACATAAATGTCAAGGACTGGTCTCGCGTTTTAACGAGCGCGCAGTAATGAGCGAAACTCCTCGTTGACGGGAGACAAGGATCAACGCTTTTTAATGCCGGCTCGGGCTTACGCTTTACGAGTGTCACGATAATAAGACCGCATTGAACATGAGCCCCGATGGGCAGCAGGGAGACGTCGAGGAGCGTACGTCCGGTACGGTTTTACAAGCGCTCGCGGTAAGGTAATCGACGGCGCGGCACGAACCTGTCTCTTTATTGGCACCGAGACGACGGCATTGAGAACCGCCCTCGATATTATCACAATACGAAGAAGTAAAAGGGGGAGAAGGGCAGTGGAGGAAAGCGATGACGGCCGAGTCGCCGAGGCCTCTTCTCGCATTTAGATCTCGGTGTCCTTGGCATATTTCTCGATCTCCGGATATATCGGTGACATCTCGAGGGTACTGGGCGCCGACGGCACCGACGTCGGCGACGCGTCGCTACCGCTACCGAATTGCATGCGGCGGCACAATTCGTCCAGCATCTCGTTGAACATCATGAGATTCATGTTCTGGCCCAGCAGGTGAAGCATCAGGAAGTCGCCGACCTGCAAAATTCGATTTCCTTCTTTAAATTACAGAATGAAACGTCGCGTTGAAATGTAAAATTGTAATTTCATTTCAGAAGACACTTTTCTGTCTCCAATTACATTATCCGCGGAGACTTCGTTTACAAAAGTTGCTTCGTGCCGACAGCTACAGAGTTCCTCAACTTTCATTTGAAAGTTTCTATTAAATTCTTAAGTGGATTACCGCGTTTATGATAATCATCCGGTGAAGCAAAACTTTTAAAAATATATTTTAACGGTCTAGAATGAATAAATTTTGCTATTGTGTTATATTACTCGGAACAAATGTTCCGTCGGTATCTTTTAAAAGGGCGTTCTCTTCGCGAGGTTAAAATTACGAGCAATTTAAAATAAAAAATCCTACCTGAGTCTTTCGGATGAGCAAGTTAACCGAAGTTGGTGTGCCAAACTTGAAGCGCTTCTTGAGGATCGTTTCGCGCGTGCTGGGCATCAACACTATGGCCATGCTGTACAGCACCGCCAGGCCGGAAAAGACCGCCAATATGATGAACCAGAACCACAGGAAAATGTAGATTTTCTCGTTGAGAATATTGAGCGCGAGAATACAGAGCGCGTCCAACTTCTGAATTGTACCAGAGGCACCAAATTTGTGGAAGGTGCATTTGGTCACGCGCGGGAACACCTCGATCATCGGGTCGGTACGTTGCTCTTGATTCATGTTGCTGAATCTCAGCACATCCGTGCCGTAGGTAAGAAAAGCGCCGCCCAGGAAGGTGTCCACGAAGAATATGTTGCCGACCTACGAGCGAAGATATCGTATCAATTCAATACGAAGAGCTTGACTCTACTCTTTCTCTTTCTAGAAGTGATATTTTTATGTCTTGCGTGATTTTACAATCTTAGGATAACTTATTGTTAGAGACATTCCACAGCGATGGAATTAGAAATTATATGACTATATAAAAAAAAAACGAGGTTTAAATGCTACAGCACTTTCCAAATCATTTCAATGTCAAAAAGCTTCTTTGTGTTGCAAACGTATACTCACGGTATTGACAAAATTGAGGATCTCGCAGAAGAAATATCCGGCAGCGTAGCTATTATGCAGGTGCATGGTCTCCATGAGGTACTGGACCAGTCTTTCGGTCTTCGACTGCCGCTCCTGCTTAGTCTCGACCATGGCGCCCCTCATGCCCTCGGATATCATCCTGATCTTACCCTCCTCCCACTGCTTCCACATCCAGTGCGGCATGTAGAAGAGCACGCCCTGGAAGAACAGCATGAACGGCACCCACTGGTAGTACGAGTGGTACCTCTTCTCCTCGTAATCGCCACCCAGACCCGGATGGGCCACGTGGCTACCCACGGGCTTCGCGCTGTTCGCGGGCAGCGTGAACGTGTACGTGATCCAGCAATACGTGTTGATCACATGGCCGGAGGGCAATTCCGACAGGCAGTTGATGGGATCGCCTGCGAAGGAAAGACAAACGATTACAGGCCGCGGCCGTTTTACGATCACGATCGATGAAATCGATGATCTCTCTCTGTATATTTACCAGTTAGATGCGAGATATAACGCGTAAGTTACGTGAAGAAATGCAGAATAGCTCTCGAACCTTTCGAATCTTAAAATGTCGAAAGTCTACTGTACATGATTTATAATTCGCGTCAGGATGGAATGTTTATAATTTTATGTGCCGTATATTTTGTGAATATTTTAATATATATATTTTGTACATATATACATATGTAGGTATATTTTTTGAATAATTTTTGAGAAATTTTTCGCATTACATGGTACATAAAATTATAAACAGAATTTTGTTCTGTATTTTGACTTATAAATCGCATAATTATATAAGTACCTATAAAATAAGTTATAATTCTGTAATTCTCAAGCATCTTGTACATCTACCTCGCGCATTTATCTCCTGAACACTGGAGTTTATCCTGCGGGATTGCCGTAATGCACGTTAATCCCTCATGATTAGCGAACATCAGAGGCAGACATTATCGCGCTCGCAAAGATAATTCTTTTTATACATGACATGTGATGCGCCGCCGATGCGTCGTAGATGCTGCGCAATTGTCTACCCACAGTGTCTACACACTCGAAACCCGAGCATCAAGTATCTTACCTAGCGTCTTGATAATATGCTGATGCATCTTCCAAGCATTAAATTCGCAATACTCTGCGTTTTATTCACGCAAGTCTATATAGATAGTATTATTTGTTTTTTTTATTAGCAACATTCACGTATATACTTTCTGCGCTATTGTTCCTTCAAGTTTTTTTTATAAAGTCGGAGCAATTGAATTAATAATATTCATTAATTTATTAACAAAAGCAACGGATTTAGGTAATAAAAAATTAATAAAGATATTTATGAGAAACGTCAAATATTTTGGAACTCCTAAATAAGAAAATATTCGAAAAGACCATGAATTTTTGATATAGTGAACAAAAAGTTTCAACGTTACTTTTAGAAATGTAAAAGAAACAAAACCATTTTTTACAGAATATCAATTTTTTACAGCATGTTACAAAAAGAAATAAAATCGTTATTGTTTTATATAACGAAAAATTGATGTACACTGATGCATTGGGAAGAAATGAGGGTGGGAAACATGGTTGGTACTTATAGGATGGATAGATTTCCCCGAGATTTTTCATTTTGCAAATGCAAGTCACATGTGTGCCGCGTAATGTGTGGCACACATGCGTGCCAGATGTTTCGCATCGTGCCGCTTATGGGCAATTAAGTTACGCAACGCTACACCGTTTATTTGATCATCCTGTGTAATCTCGAGATCGCGGAGATCTTTGGAATATGCCTAATTTTGCGGGTCGAAATTACGATGAATTATCACTGCCGTATAATAAATTACACAGCTTCTTCGACATAATCCGTTTGTCGTACTCGCATGTCGATCCCGACGACAGTGCCAACGAGGAGCAGACAACAGAGTACCATCTCTCCCAGTGTTACATACACGTAATCATTTACAGCATAATTGCTACCTCCCGTCTGCTTCATCTCGCGTAATCAAAGAGATCCACTCGTCATTAATCACGTCGCACGACTCGACCTCGATTCGCAGACAACCGTAATAAGAAAGGCATACACCGAGTGGTATATGATGATCGTTAGGTGCGTTCGTTGTAGGTGCGAACACGGCTTCTGATCAACCGCAACGTTGAAACATCGTCTTCGTCACATGGGCGATAAGGTATAGAATTTGTGTTCGAAGACCACGCGCCGGTCTCCCTCACTGACGTAAACATGCTTTCTCGAGAGAGACGTGAGACGCGACGCGATGTCATCGTCACGCCTCCGTTCGAGTCCCTAATCACCGCTTGATTAGGTGGCGGCCGGCTGCACTCGGCTTGCGATGCAAGTGGTCGCTGTTGATCTTTGAACCTGGCGACGTCCCACCCGGACAGCAGATTAAACGATTCTCATCTTCGCGACGTCTATTTTTAAACTCGGTCTTCGCGTTACGGAATATCGCCGAGAGCCTTTCGTCTGCACTTCTATGATTTTAAAATTCTTCACATTTATCGTATATCTGCTATTGTACCGCGCGCGATAAATTCTCATTTTTATTTAAGTAACCCCACTTTAGGTTTGAGGAAACTATTGAGGTAATAATAATCGTCGATAATAATAATCTCCACTTCGTGTTTTCGAGTGTCGTCGATAAAAATCAAACGTAATCGCAGCACAAGGAAGTTTCCTCGATGGTGTTTCTAGAAGACTTTCAAGGCTCTTTAGAATTCCCTCGTGCCGGCGACAACGCGACAGATATTGAAAGAAGGTACCTTACCTATCAAGTTATTGGCAGTGACGATGATGCAGCAGAGGAAGAGAATGGCCGATGTGATCCTGTAATGCATTCTGAAGATCATGTTGTCGATAATGGCCTTGTCGATCAGATATCGCACCTTGACGAAGCCGGCGACCGCCGAGACCAAACCAAACACCGCCATTTTCGTTTAATCTGTAAAAAAAAGAAGCGCTTCATTTATATCATCATCGACAGAATCGTCAATGAACGAGAATTGGCTTAAAACATCGGGAATGCTGTATAATATCTTTTATCACTCTCTTTCCTAAGTTTCTCATTTTTATTTTAGCAATCGAGTTTTAAATTAACATTTTGCTAAGGCGACGCGTACATAAAATTAAATGAAAGACGAGCCCTTCCTGTTTACTTTGATCCCCGACGCTTCATTTCCGACTTTATTATTTATAATTAAAAAGCCATTAACTGCTGAAGTTTTCCCTAATGAGAAAAATAATAAAAAAATTTGATTACGTTATTTTAAAAATGATTAATCTTAAAAGAACGCAAAGACTTTCTATTTGAAGGCATATTTTTTTTATTTTTTTCACATACGACTCTTAAGTTTTATGGAAACGAATTTAGCAAAGGAGTTGAGGAGTACGAACGAGGCAAAAACTGTCTTCGATTGACGAATCGGATTACGTCCCCGTTATGCCTAATGAATGGCAGCTGGCCGATCGCGATTAGAAGTGCGTTTCATTGAATCGCAGATGCCGGCAGGCATTAGCATTCTTATCGTATAAGTCAGTAATTCATAATGACTGAATCGCGTAAGTATTGCTTAGGAAAGAGAGACGAGGCTGTGCAGAGTTCGCCATGCCAGTGCAGTAGATCACCTCGTTAATTAATTCAACTGTAGATTGCGGTAGTAAATAGTACTCCATGGCAAACTGCATTCCGTATATAAGAGCCGAACTATCAATCTTATTCGATCCTTCCGGCGACGATCCCCAATTGCGCTCTTTGAGAAACTAATTGAATTTCGATTTGCGATATTATGATAAGCGATGTAATTAACGACAGAAGTTTAGTTGCTAGATTATAGAATCTAGATCGACCGATCATGATGTCTCTCGTCAAAATCTTTTATCTGAAATATTCGTAAAAAAAAAACTCAAAGCTTTTTAAGATGAGAATTTAAGAGACAGCTTTAAGATACAGTTTTCGTTAATTTTTCGTTTCTACGGGCAAACCCTTTGACTTTGAATACGGACAAATGTCGTTCGCCTATTCGCAATACGACTATTCCCGTTCCTTCGGGGCTTTTAGCGAACAAAAGCGGAACCGCGCTTCACCGCGCTTTCATTCGACGAGAGATTGTCAGGCGCGAGTAACGCGGGATGACGATTCGCGGCTGTTTTCCCCTTGTGCCGCCCTTTCGAAAACCTACGGAACCCTCGGCGAAAAGGGTCCCTTCACCGCCCCGTGTATATGCCCGTGGTAATAACGTCGCGCTCGCGACCGGAAATGGCAGATGTGTACGAGGAGATCGATATACAAAGAGAATGAGTGAGCGAGAGGAACCCGTCCTAAGCGCCACACACCTCGACCTCGTAGATTGTCTCGTCGGGAAACAATAGCCCGATGCGACCCTGGAATGCCCGGGTTGCCTCCCTCTCGGTTTTCGTCACCGTCGGGTTTGGTTTCTGTTGAACGACACGTGCTTAATGCATCCTCGAAAAGCATCCACCTAAACGCGCTTTTTGCAGAATACAGTCATAACAAAGGCCCGTTCTTCATGCGTGGAAATCCGAACCGGTTAAGTTATCTCCCGTACCTATCTGGATTTTCAACCCTCATTTTTTGATCTTATAGAATATAGACGAATTTAGAAAGAAAAATTTGATGTATTATATCGTTGCTATTGTTTCAAGGTTTATAGAAAAAAAATCCTCTTTCGTATCTAAAAAGAAACTGACGCGCGAAAACAGCTTACGTTTTTATCTCGAGCTGTTGTGGCTTTGCAACTATATTTCGTGCGTGATAATAATAGGAGCATAGAGGGCTGGGCCTTGTCCGACTTGCGTTAATACGCGCGCATCTAAAGAACACGCTCGTTATTCCGCAGTCACGAGAAGTATATTCTCGTTAATGCATGACGTAATGATTAATTAATATCACGACCGCACAAAGAATAGATGCGCGTATAAATGCGTCCGGCACTATACGGTTATTAATTATAACATAAAAGACGTCGCAGAGATAATTAAAATATAAAATGGTATTATTCCATAACAATAAAAATTATGAATGGTATAATTCTGCTATAATTGCAAAATTTCATACAGTTTTTTAGTTTTCGATATTACCGGGATTTTTTTCATGAAGAACAAGTTTGCCAAGCCTCGAATACTTGTCTCTTTTTACAAAAGTGTTTCGAGCGACAGAATATTCTCCATAAAATTCAAGAGTGATAGACGAGCTCGTCTTCCGTTTGATCGGAATTTTATTACTTAATTAATTGACAGGCTGCTGCGAGAAATCGCTCTACGTGGGGAATCTTTTGTTAGCGAGAATGTTCGCCTTATGCGTCGTAGAACGAATTCCGAGATCGCGAACTTTACTATGTAGACTTTATTATTCTGACCGCAAAAAAATTGTGAAATTTTGAACCGTGAAATTTTGAACCGTCAGCAGATTTACGATCGTAGCGCACTGCTCGCAAGAATTGATTTTAGATGCGAGATTTCCATACATTAATAAATTACTCTTCACGTCTAATCATATATTTTTTTTAAATGTTGCACGGTTCTATTTCGAGACAGTAATTATGTATAGAACCTGTCGGATATATGTATAGATATTATCTAAATGAAAAGGCGCACAATTGCGCAAATGTTTTTCTTGCAATATTCCGTAACGTAGGCCGTAGAATAATTTCGCAGAACTAATGCGGCCTAATTGTCTCATAATCGCCTTCGATGACAAACGTTTTTGGTATGTCTCCTTTAAACAACGAAGCTTACGCGGCGCGTCATCCGCAACCCGCAACGAACACGTTACCAGTCGTGAGAGAAATGAAACAATGTTTCATATACGGAAACAATGTTTCCTCGGAGGCATACAAATTTTCGAATGCCTTCGTCATGCTTCTCGTGGCGAGGGGGAACCGGCCAAGTTAAACCAGTTGGCTGCTGCTGGTTTCTCGGATAGAGTGGGGTACAACTACGTGAAGTGAACGATGACGACGACGACGACGACGACGACGAGAAAGGCCGATACCCTTTTACATATGCCCCCGCCTTGATTAATCATATTTCTTCAACTACCATGCGCGACATTTAATAGAAACGATATATTAGGCAATATTTCTCGGAATTATGCAATTTCGCGGAGACACGAGCTACATTTATCTACCGTATTGCGAATGACGGTAAAAATAATTAGTTACGCAATTTGTTTTGTTTGATCCATTACCTCACTCTTATTGCATAGCGTACATTATGTATATTGTGTTTATTCATCTTGCATTACACTTTAATTTACTATTATTTTATGCATCATTTATTATTTATTCTGTATATTATTTATTGATTTGTCATGAAGTATATAGTACATGTTGCTTTCTAAGTGTTGTAGCCATAAAACCAATTTCAATTACACGTCTCTGGCTAGTCGGAATACGATTTTTACGGCGTTGCGCAATCGTAGGTACATATATACGTATACAGTGAAAAGAGGTTTATGTTCTATCGCGGCAATAAATCCCGTCGTGAGCACGGAGCGGAATTTTGTCGTCGTCGCCGCCGCTCGTCGCTTCTGTTCATGCACGACCGAAGTTTTTGGTTACTAAATCAAGCGAGTTTCCACGAACGAACGTTACTCAACTCGGGGAGAATAAAATGCAAAATGCCAAATGTATCTTTTCCTTCCTTTCACATCGTCAATATTATTGAATCTCAATAATTGTATCATCTGCAGTCGTGCAATCACATTATCGTTATAATAATAATAATAATAATAAATTACACCGTTAATTTTGACATTCTTCTTGGATCTTTCGGGCGATCGCGCTCTTTTTATCATCGAAATTTCGGCAAATTACGTCACTAATCGAACACTGTCGAATAAGGGTGTTTAAATTGGTCATTTGTGAATGAGCGAAAGCTCGAATAACGAAGCCTCGCGAATCCACCGGTCGACGATGCGGTTTCCGAAGACGGCTTTCTTCTCACGATCGCGCCGGTGCCGCCGCGGCTCGATCTCGTACGAATTGTCCGTATCGGGTTACGGATGCAGAAAACAGGTTTCGGATCGCGCGATCGCGCTGGCTGCGAGAGAGACCACCGGCCGTCGACGCCGACGCCAAGACGCGCCGGATTCGAGTTGCTAATACACGATCGAGAAAAATGGAGATCCTTTGTCCGGCAACGCGGATCCGGGACACCGGTTTTGTCCGTAGTATATATCGCCTGCGGTTTGTGCGAAATGGGAGAAAAAAAAGAGAGCAGGTAAAAAGCGCAGACGGAAAGAAGAAATTCTCGTAGCTTATTCTGGTACAGACGAATACTGTAATATTATAATATTAGTGTTCCACGTGTATAATTAATGTAATTTCCGGAGTTCAAAGTATTCAACAAATGAGAAAACGGCGGATCGTTGACTCTCTTAAAACTTTATTACCGTCGCTAAATTGGAATTTTGTTTAACTACTCGCTCTTTATTTGCGTTCCCGAAGTTCTCTCTAACGTTAATCTCCGCGGTTTCCGAGAGATGTTCGATACACGTATATCGCTAAAAATCATTTAGGAAATATTGAACGAGTCTTTTACGCGCGATATTAACGAGGCACAAGATTTAAGAATTATAAATTTACTTTACGATACTAAAGCGACATGTTTATGAGAGTTTAGTGACGAAAGATGAATGTATAATGAATGAGTTAAATAATGGAAGATTCCTTTTAGAAAGGATCGAAAGAGACCGTAAATCCGACGGTCTTACGGTTTACGGAACCGCGATACGGAGACGCGCAGCGAAGCTCTGTCGATTCAATGGTTAACAGGTAATACGAGAGTGATTTATGCGTGCCGGTTGCGCCGGCATGATATGGAAACTGGAGCGATTTGTAGGTCGAAACAACGATCGCGGTCATAGTAACGTGATTTACGCATACATATGCGAACTAATAACTGCTAATATATATATAGAGA